CTTTTGGAGACGATGGAGTCACGGCTACGGTCAATGCATACGGTGACCTGATGCAATTCAGCAGCTTTCTGGGCATTGGTCACTCGGGCGTATTCTCCGCAGACCACCGCAGCATAGACGAGCCGTATTGGGTGCGGGATAGGGCTGAGCAGTTGCTCAAGATGCGGCGAGATCGGGACCGAGAGGAAATTACATACGGAATCCGAATACCCAACATAACCCCGGATCAATGTCAGGCTATAGGCTACGTCCATGATAGATGGCCACGGTACGAGTTTGATGACGGAATTCTTAGAGTCACTATACAGTGGACGGTTCACGAGAAGACGGTCCTACAACAGTGTATCATCGCGAACAATGGGGTAGATGATGTAGATGTCCCGATTCAATTCGCGAGGGGTATCCACATTCGAGACTTGGATTATCTGGACAAGTCCTTCCGATTCAATGAAAATGAAGGACAGGACGACCAATTGCAAACACTGGGGCCAAACGGCTATGGGTGGGTTTTAGTTCATCCTTTCAAGCACGAAACAGTGGACAAAGATGCAAAGGATGATCCAGAGCCCTTTCTTCCAAACTCAAGGTCAACAACAGTTGGCCAAACTGAAAGAAAGGCCATGAATTCATCAGCTCCGCCTTCCTCACCACCCGAACAACCAGATGCAGTCGCGGTGGTGGTATCTGTCTTCCTAGATGGCCAAGCTGTCAGATGGGAGACTGGAAATGTCAGCGATCACGATGACGGTGTCACGGAATTGTTCGTCAAATCTTTGAAGCAGAATGGTTTGTTCGAAGTCGTCACTGCTTATAAGATGACGCATTTGACCAGATCGAAAGCTAAATGGGACAGCTTCCTAATTCCACCGGCCTGGGCGGATGTAAGCAAGCATCTTGCATCAGTGTCGTTCACTGCGTTCCGTCTGTCGGACCACATTAAACCACCCAAAGATATGGAGGAAAAGCAATCCGAAGGTTTCATTGATCGTTTGATGAGATATACTTCATCGACGAGAGATACGCAGCTGCATGGACTCCCGAAGGACAGCTCAATCAATCACATTGACTTTGTTGTTCGCCGAAACCTGGAGCATATCCTGTCCACATGCGTCATACCTTTCCCTAGATCTTCTGAGACGGAAGAGATAGTGGCTATTGTTTTGACGTGTGGCGATGTATCAGGGCACCGAGTGTGTTCTTCGGCAAGTTTGTAAGAGAACAGTCCCTTCCCCACGTCTTCCTGTGTCTTCGATCAGCATTCTAATCGATTCAGCTTTGCTTTCTCGTTTCTACTTGAGATCGCAAAGTATTTGCACGCCATCGAGAAACCCGGCCCCGAAGATCCTCACAAGTCGCTGAAACGAAGAATCTACTTGGTTTGTCGGGGCCACTTGAAGTGGCTTTTGGAGGCTGGCCTAACTGAAGAAAATGTTTTTGCAGCAAACTACTGGCCAACAGGTCGAATCATGCTTGCCGATACTGAGAGCGAATCCTTCATGCCAAGCAACTCATTCACCGATACGCCGTTTCAATTGATGAAAGCGTCTGCATTTACGAGCCTCTACACAAGCAATGAAGATCTGGACCTAGCAAGGCGAGTTATCCGAAGAGTTGCCCAGGCATGGCTCGGTACACTTCATAAGTTTGACAAGCGTTCATCCCACGTTTGGCCACATGCACAGGACGAAGGTTGCAATAAGTACAGACTCAATGAACACGTCTGGATCTGGAGAGCTTTGCAGACAATCGAAGATGACCGGAGGAGAACCACCGACACGAAAAACCTGCCGGATGATGGGGGAGATACTCATGGAGAGGCTCCTAATGCTGGCAGGGAATATCAGAGAGACAACGACGTGGCACAGGGGAACCATATCGCTGGCGAAGAAGAGAAACTATTTAGGCAATTTGGCTCCGATGGCATTCAAAGAGACATTCTACGACGATTCACGGCCGAGAATGATGTGTCGAAGAAACGTATGCTGGCAACGACACGATCTTCCCGCGAAACGCGTTTCTTGCTCCATGCGAGCGATACTGCTCTATTTTACGGCATCGAGTGGAACTTTTTCTTGCAGAAGCTAGTCGATGAGGTTTGGGACAACACGATCGAGGCACAAGTGCATCATACTGAGAATTCGGAGACAGGATGGGACAATTCCACCCGATATGCGCTGGCAATCATGATGGGAGCTAGGAACATGTCTTTGAACAAAAGGTCTCCAAAAGACCTGGTCAAGTCTGCCTTTGATGTTCTCTTTCGGTCCACCAGCCCGAATGGGCTGTTTCATGGGCAGCTTGATGGAACTACAAAAGAGCCAGCGCTGTTTGGCAGAGAGCGAGATCGCGACTTTTATTTCCACGCCACCTTTGAAATTCCGTATATTCTCCTGACGCATTGTTGGAGGATCGAATATAGATTCAAGGAAGTCTCCGAAAAAGACCCCGAGATCTCGCAAATACACTCGGCGACGAAGACAACAGATCGAAGACTCTTCAACGATGTGGTAGAAAGAATGCAACAACAGCCAAAACACCAGGATCACAAGTCACCGACAAATCAAGCAGCTGCCTCCCAAAATGATGAAGCTCCCAAGCGACTGAAAGTGACAGCTATGAAAAAGAGCGTCCCATTCAATAGCCTCATTGATCAGAGCAGCATAGTTGACCTGGAAGAAGAATGGCTGTACAACTACCCATACTTCCTGGGGAATACTTCGTGTGCTCCCGAAGGCTTCAACGAGGAGGCAAAGAAATTGTTGATGCCCGCGGAGAGAAATCGTTCAGGCACCATCGTTGCGAAGGTTGCCGAAGAATACTTCGAGGCTCTGAAGAAGTACCTCGGAGTCTCAGTTGCTGCAGGCATTCAGTTCCCTCATCCATTTTTCAGATCTATCTCTCGCAAAGCATGGGTAGTAGACATTCGAAAGCAGAAGAACCTCAGCAAACGTGAGAGGGCGCACCGTGATGAGCCTTCAGATGAACTGAACCAATACAAGCTATGGGACGCCTTGTCGCAGCCTCGAACAGCTGAAATAGCCAAGAAACGGCTCGTCTGGTTACCTGACGCGAATACCGAAAGTGCTCTCATCTGCTACATCAGTAGCCCACCAGATGAACAGCCAGCTATGTCGCATTTTTTTGATTGTCATTCCCACTTCGAGAACCAATTCCTTGAAGAAACAACAATGGTTCTCAACACCTGGATGACCGAAATTCACCTTAGTTTCTATCGTATGGTAGAAAAGAACTACGTCCATCGTCGAGGAATACCCGAGTTGGTTCTGAAAGAGCTCCCAGGTAGCACCGACAAGAGGCTAGCGCGAGCCGCGATGGGATTCCGCATATCTGGAGACTTCTTTGACAGATATTGGACTTGTCACTTGATAGAGTACATTCCTGGTCATGTAGTCAAGGACGGCAGCGGAGGCCCAGAAAACAAGCCATGGGGTGAACAAGGTTGGCGACAAAGGAAAGTGCTCGAGCTGCATCTTTTCGATAGAATTTTGAAGGAAATTGTCCGCAGCACCAAAGAGATCTTCGAGGCAGTCATCGATGAGCTAGGCGATAAAGGCGGTACAATGTCATTTTCGACTCTGAGCAGCGTCGAATACTTCTCATCTAGCGCAAGATGGCAAAGTTGTCAGCAGCTGCTCCAGGACATGGAAAAAGATATCTCGGAAGTACTCTCGACCGTTGCGAAATGGGAGACGCGCGAGAAAGATAGAGGTCAAGAGCGGCCACGTTGGACACGCAACGACGAGCGCAAGTACCGCGGCTTCATTGGAAAGATGCAAGCGGCGACAAACAGCAGCATCAGAGAATTGCAGAATTGTCGCAACAACATTCGGTCGCAGAAGGCGCAGCTGATAAGCTACCAGCAGCAGAGCCGCGACACCCTCTCACTGATTGACGCAGAAAACGTCCGGCTGTTCACGTACGTAACTGTCGTGTTCTTGCCAATCGGCTTTGCGGCAAGCGTATTCAGCATGAGCGAAACACCGCCACGTGATGTGCTGAAGCCTATGATCATCTGTTCAGTCATTGCACTCGCCCTCACGATCGTAGCGCTTGTCAATGCAAAGAAAGTGTTGACGGCTATCAACAGCTACTCCTATTCTAAGATGAGAAACAGCCAGTTGAGCTCCACAGATGAGATACAGGGGAAAATGGAGCGGAGGTTGCCCACACATGAACAAGAAATAGCCAAGGTCGGCGGTACCGGGAAAGAGAATCAAAAACGTGGTGGTGTTGATGCGAGACATGAAATGGAACGCAGCAGCAGCTTTTCGGGGCACTTGCGGTTCTGGTTGGCATACATACTCATTGAACTTCCTGCTCAAAAGGTTTCGCGAGCGTATGGTGTCATGGAGGGCCCAGAGTCTACATACTGGGTTACCTATGTTCATGTCATTATAGGGTTCATGGTTTTGCCTGTACTTCTTGTCGCCCGTCTGTTCCAACATTTTCTTTACAACGCCATGGATCTAAGCCAGCTTGCCTGGGGTAAGTCTTGTAGTGCTCAACCCGTTCATTTTTCATACTGACTCGTCGAAGGACGATGCAAATTGTATATTGTATCAGCCGAACCGAAGCCGTACGATTTGAATCAACACTGGTTGACCAACACTATGCGCGTGCATCGACCACTCGAAGGTAAATTGATGGAAGTAAACAAACGCTTATCAGACCTGAGAGTCAGTAAAGGGCAACCCAGTGGGGATGAGACTTCTCTTCCAAGAGAGGCATGACGAAGTCAGATGCCTCGCTGATCTACCTCGTTCTGAAGTGTCGAGAACCTTTTTCATCTGAGGCAGATACTGATGAACCCCCAGAGCGCCAAACTTCAGTCATTCAAGTTCATATATGCCTCAATTTAGGTTGCTTCATGCTTTGAATCTTCTGAATCACATCCTCGTTTCACATGTCGACAGTCTTCAAGATGCGATCAAAATACCATTCTGCAGCATTTCAAACTCTAGGGAAAGCAAACTGAGTGCTCAGTTTCCAACCTCAATAGTCTCCGTTTCCCACTCCCCTATCAGAGATCCTGCACCAGCACCGACAGAGGTCAACTTCTCGGGGCTCTGCAACACTTCCTCCGCAGTCAGACCAGGCCAGACAGCCATCCACCTTCCCTTCATCGCTACCTTGGCCTTGCCTGCCTCCCACACATCACCCGGCACTCTTGGCTCGCGAAGCTCAACAACTTGATCCGCGCTCTCACCGGGTCGCAATGTGATGAGCGACTCGGCGCCGGGCGGCATCTTGCGGTTGATCATGATGGCATGGGTCTCGATCGGCTCGGAGGCCCCGGCCGGCTGGATGGACACCTGGCCCAGACCGAGAACGGCGGGGTCAAGCGGGGAGTTCCATTTCAGGAGCGTCACGGGCGTGTCCGGGTGTGTGTTCTTGACGGACACTGAGACTTTCGGAGGCGAGGTGCCGGACTGAGACAGGCTCACCTCGAGGTTGTTGAGGAAGGATGAGGAGGAGTCAGAAGTCATTGTGAAGGATTGCAGTGGCGAATAAAAGTAGAATGTGAGTACGATGACGGCGCCGATTGCTAGGGCGGCCGGGAATGAAAGAGGCCCTCGGCTACGGTGATGAGGGTTCATGTATGATGACTCGTTTTTGACTAGGGGTGTTTGGAGAGTGAGAGTAAGCAATGTAGAATTGAGTGAGGTTTCTTCAGGTACGAGAGCTTCAGAGTTCAACGGGTTGATGGTGATGGAGGCAAAGTCTGTATGTTGGGTTGCTGGAAAGGTGATGATGAGTTCAGGGGGCCAAGAGAACCGAGATTTGAGAAAGAATGAGAACGATGACGATGTTGTGCCACGACAGTCTCCTGACAAAGCTCCAGACGAGTCCACTACGCAAGGAAGAGGAGGCAAATGGAGAATGCCTGATTGGATCGTCAACGGCTTTGATGCTCCTTTAGGCAGGTCGCAGAACCGATGAGAATCATGAAGGGAACGGACGTTTGTAGGATATTGGGGCTAGACCGAGCATGAATGCGGGGCAAACATTTGTTACGTACACGCGCGTATGAGGTTGTCGCTGCCGAGATTAAAAGTTGCCCCGAGCGAGTCTGAATCAAAGCAGCGCCACTGTTGTTTAAATCAAAACGGCACGCAGCCAAGACCTTGCCAAGTCCACGTTTTGGTGTACGGCTGTCGGTAGTGAAAATAAACAGCTAATCAGAGTCGACCTGGCCCACTACTCTATTTACTTTAAACTCCGAACCCGGCACCTCCTACTCCATAACGACCTCTTAAGGCTCATATTAAGCTCACTAAAGGAGTGGGAGCCGCTTCTAAACCATCATAACCATGGCTCCCATTCGTACAACGAAGCAGCTGGGGATGGCTTCAGTTAAAGTAGTCTGTGTAGATCCGTTACGAGATGGCCCCGCTTGACACACCCACCTCTATCCGCGGCTGCGCGCTTCGGTTGGTGGAAGCCTCGTGTGTCAGCTTTCCTGTTCGTCTCTATGTTGGACATGATCGGATAATTTCCATCCTCCCAACTTCGCACCCGCATCCCGAACCACTGGGACAATTCTCCGTGGTGGAACGTTGCCCCGGCTTCGCACCCGTATCCATGAAGTTTCTTCTCCGTGATGCAATCTACTGTTCGTTTGAGGTCCCAAGAAGGGTTACCTTCAGATCAGGGGGCTTCCCTCTCAGGAGTTATGGAGGAGCCATAAAGCCTTCCTCTCTCGCTGCTAACTATCCTTCCTCTTGAGAAGAATCCAGCATCTTCCAACGGCTTCGTCCTACACTCTCTTTAAAGTCCCACCACCTTACTTAGCCACCATGAAGGCCGCCACTGTTGTTTCTTGCCTCGCCGCCCTTGCCAACGGCGCTGCCGTCAACCTGGGCAGACGTGCGGAGCCCCTCGATGTGAAAATCGAGCAGGTCGGCAACAGCGAGCTGAAGGCTAGCATCACCAACACCGGAAGCACGCCTCTTCGTGTTCTCAAGGCGGGCTCGATCCTCGATGGATCGCCCGTTGAGAAGGCCCAGTTCTCGACGAGCTCGGTCGATGGCACTGGTGGTAAGTCTAGACTACTCTTCATACACTCCAAAAGCAAACAGTATCTAACACTATCAATAGTCAGCAAGGTTGCCTTCACTGGCGTGCGAGTCTACGTTCACGATGCCGATCTCCCCGACTCTGCCTTCCAGACCATCGAGGCCGGCGAGGTCGTCAAGGTCCAGTGGGACGCCGCCCAGGTTCACGACCTCAGCAGCGGCGGCGACTTCAACATTTCCAGCACGGGATCCCTCCGCTACGCCGAGGAGGGCAGCAACAAGATTGCCGGCCAGGTCGTCTTCGACTCGGGCGTCCTCCAGGCCACCGTCGACGGCACCCAGGCCGCCTCGGTGCACGCCGCCTTCCACGAGTCCCTGAACGCTAAGCGCGTCACCATCCAGTCCGACTGCACCGGCACCAAGAAGACGGCCGTCACCGCCGCCCTCTCCAAGGCCAAGACCTACGCGACCAACGCCCAGACGGCCGCCAACGCGGGAACTCGCCTGCAGCAATACTTCAAGTCGACCACGTCGAGCACAAAGTCTACCGTCGCCGGCATCTTTGGCAAGGCTGCCACCCTCCTCGGCAGCACTTCGAGCGGCGCCGGCCTCTACTGCACCGACGTCGGCAACTTCTGCAGCGACGGTGTCGTCGCCTACGCCCAGCCTGGCAGCGGCGGTTACATTGTCGTCTGCGACTACTTCTTCCAGTTCCCCGCCTCCACCACCTCGTGCCGCGCCACCGACCAGCCGTACGTCCTGGTTCACGAGTCCACTCACTTGACTGAGGTTGGCGGCACCGACGACGTCTGCTACGGCTACGAGGGCTGCGTCGACTCCCTCAGCACTTCCCAGGCATTGAACAATGCCGATTCCTTTGCCATGTACTCTCAGGGCATCCAGACCAACTGCTAAATGCGGTGGTCTACGATGGCTCGGGTTGAGACGTTTCTTTGTACAATATTAGCCAGCATATAACATGTATCTATACCTTCCATGAACAAATATCACACCATTGATCAATCATGCACTTGCCTTTCAATTACATAAGAACGTGATACATAGATGATGAGAAGACCTAGATGTTCGGTTTGGGTTGTAGTTATTCAAAATAGGGGTACAAACGAGAAGTGTTGGTTGAGTGGGGGTAGTGCACGGGTTTAAGCACCTTGGGGTTGCCCGCTAAACCATCAGTCCACGATCTAGTGCACCTCAATCGACAGCGAATGGTCGGGCCACTACTCAAACGCCAGAATACTGTAGCTCCTGCTGCCAAACCACATCTCAATGCCGTCTTCGCCTTCGTAAAGTATGAAGAATCACATCAGGTCATTCATGCGGGTCATTCGCAAGATTGACGACGCAGACGAGCTCATCCAATCGTTCTTAGCATCCGAGGAACTCATACTCTCTCAGAATGATGCCTCGCCGTCACTCGCTCCCCATGATCAGGAGCGTTTGCTCGACTTTCCAAATGCCGAAACTCAAGCAGCGAACATTGCTGAATCGACTAAGCTATCCAAAGAAGATCTCCTTGAGCGTGCTGTCGAGTCACCCTCGCAGCTGACCGCCGCAGAGATCTCTCTGCTCAAGAACCGCTACTGGATGAATGTCTCGCCAGGGGAGGAACGTGAAGTCTCACGGGCAGCCGGGCTGATCATGGGACCCGATAGAGTCTCAGAAGAGGAGTATGAACAAGCCCAGAAGCGTCTCGGGGCGGTACGCCACATGCTCTATGCAGAAAATGAAGAGAAAGCCATCGACAATGCTATGGCAGAGCACTGGAGGCGCGAAAATGAATCATGGAAAGCGAGACAGAGGCAGGAGACTGAAAATGCCTTGTCCAAGGCGCGCCCATGGGTGAGACGTCTGTGGGAGGAGGACAAAGGGGAGAAGGTTTGGGGGTATGGCATGTTCATCGATCCAAAGCGTTCGCCAACGACGAAGAAGCCGATAGGTACATGGCTCGGAGAGATGGCGTTCTATTCCACGCTAGCGACGCGGTTGGGGCGGGAAGCAGTGCCATCAATAACAAGTGGAAGTTGCAGAAGCTTGAGTGGCCTACCAGTGATGCTGCAGGTGGCGGCGAGGAGATGAGCGCCAGACAAGCTGTTGGTCGAGGCGACGCAGAAGAGGATACTAGTGAGCTGACTATTGACGAGGACCAGAGAGGTGGAAGAGAGGACGAAGAGAGACTCGCCAGCTTCCGCATCTTGCGTACAAGGTTCAATTCTATCCGAGACAGAGGCACAAGGAGTCAAACACAAGAAGGCATCGTCTCTGGCGCACCTGTGTATTCAGAAACCAGTGCTCTAGAAGGCGGCATTATACGAAGCGTCTTTCTGATGGTAGACAAGCCAAGCGTCAAATCGGCCCTTGGTGCACATAGGCTCGTCGACGACATGTGGGTTTGGGCTGTTGACCCTGACCACGACGATGCGGACGAGACACTTACCACAAACGATGAACCACGGCAATCAGAGACGCCCGGAAGATACAGAGGATTCATGCGTGTACGGCTGCAACAGCTTGTCAATAACTTCTATGACGTGCGACGCTTTCACCAGAGAGAGTACGCAATGAAGAAAATCTGGGAAGCCGCTCAGAAGAGCAAGCATCAAGCCTTTGTTTCAATCCATGATGTTGAGGCCCGGAGTTGGAGTATTGATCGGTTCGTGGGGAGTGCCATGAGAGCGCAGCCACCGCGGATTGTATACGGACCTATACCAACGACTTCTGCCGAAAAGTTGGTTCACAAATAGATGGAGAATTGCCACCGAAATTTGATAGGTTCTTACTAAAAGCTAGTATTCAGACCGCTCCAGGCAATCGACTCGAGTTTCTCTGTAATGATTCGGATTCTTGGCGTGCTGAAGGCAGTTACAGTTTGATAGTTTGATAGTTTGAAGTGGGTTTTGAATTTTGAATCATACCTTGATCGACTTTTAACCAAGGCTGGCTGGCAACTTCCTCCCAGGAAGGCTCTCTTTTGTGCCTTAGCTTATTCCTATCTCCAACATAAGGTAAGCAAAACGTCTGAGAGTCACTCACCAAGACGGAACTTTCGTGGTTAACGCAGGCTGTCCCGACCCGTGCGCCTCATTTCCCTCTCCATGGCTTCCGTGTAGAGTCGAATTCTTGGAGAAACATGGAGTAGCGAGTTTCAAACACAACTTGGTGGTTCACCAACAGTGGGATACAGGCAAACGTATTGCTCTTCCCCGGTACCCAGCTGCCCGAAACTTTGATTCTTCTGTACGAAACTCTGAATCCCAACGGCGAGGATGCAACCCAACGTCACTTTGTTGAAGAAAGTTTAGAGAAGACCCGGGAGCGATACTTCCTGCCAGACTCAGCTCGTTGTTCAAGCATTGTCGACTGGTTCTGGAAACTTCTGAACATGCATCGCCTTCTCTTTCTGGCTGCTTCTCTTTCATGAACTACTCCCATATCGTACTTGGCTCTCTTACAGAACCAGCAGGAACTTCATCCGATGAACAATCACAGAAAACTTCATCTCAAGAATGTGCGGGCTAACAGCCATCATCCAATCCGGCAGTCCACAAAACGAATCATCGGAACGAGGCGCCGATGTGCAAAGTAAACTAACACGAAGCCTATCTCTCCTTCAGCATCGAGGGCCAGACGCAGAAGGAACATGGATAAACAGCGACGCTACCGTCGGCATGCTTCATCTCAGCTCCATTGACTCAGGTTTGAGATCGTTTGCCGGTAATTGACACAGTCATGAAGGTCTCGGCCACGCACGCCTCTCAATCATAGATTTTTCGCCAACGGGCCTTCAACCCTTACACAGTGAAGATGAGAAAATCCACGTCGTCGTGAACGGCGAGATTTACGACCACTTCGCCATCCGCGGCCGCTGTACCACCGAGTTCGATTACAACTTCTCCGGGAGGAGCGACAGTGAAGTCATCCTGGCTCTGTACCAACACCACGGAGTTCGCGGGCTCTTTAAGCACCTGCGTGGCGAATTCGCCTTCGTCTTATACGGTGAGCGATCCGGTGATGTTATCGCCGCGAGGGACCGTTTCGGCATCAAGCCTCTTTTCTGGACATACAGTAGCGAGACGCCGGCCAAACTCTTGATCGCCTCGGAGATCAAGGGGTTTCTGCCCATGGGGTGGGGGCCCGAGTGGGACGTCGATGCCATCTGCAGCGGTGCGGCGGTTCTAGGCGAAGGTACGCTGTTCAAGGGAGTGAAGAAGGTGTTGCCGGGGCATTGGGTGCAGTTCGGTCGAGACGGGAGCGTGACGCAGCATCGGTATTGGGATGCCGAGTATGCGGATAAGGTGAGTGGCTTCACATGAATGTATAAGCCGAACGGTGATTGATAGGCTTAAAAGCTGTTTAGACCGTCAAAGAGACACGCAGTATGGATGAGATGGTCGACGGAGTTCGCGAGCGCTTAGTAGATGCCGTACGCCTCCGCCTCCAAGCCGATGTCCCCGTCAGCATCTATCTTTCAGGTGGTCTCGACTCGTCCATTGTGGCTGGTATAACAACGCAGCTCGTACGAGAAAGAGGAGTGAAGCCGGGGAACCAGGATAAGAAAGATAGGATCACTTGCTTTAGCATCTCCTTTGCTTCTGATTCCCAGTATAACGAATACGGTAGGTCATTGGGTGCACCCACGCCCTAGATTCATGCTAACAACTTGACAAGACATTGCAGAACGCACAGAAGAATGGCTAGACTTGAACACTGTAAAAAAAGCCATGGACGAGGAAGAACTAGCAAAGCACTTCGCTGACTCCGTCTACCATACTGAGCACCACAACTTGACATGAACAGCGTCGGGAAGTACGCCCTCTCAGAGCTACCTCGCCAGCAAGGGATCCCCATCGTGCTGACGGGTGAGGGGGCAGATGAGAACTTTGCAGGGTACCCATTCCTAGTCTCCGACTTCCTCCGTGAGCCCGACGATGCCTTGCCGTTGACGGAACTAACGAAGGATACCGAGCTTCGGGAAGCGCTAAACGAGTCCGCCGCAGCGCAGTTGCGAAGCATGTACAAAGGGATGGGCATGTTCGATCACTCCCGAACGGAAGAAAGCACCGGCTTCGACTCTCTCGCAGGCTTGGACGTTTTCATGGTCCGCTGGCGAGGCTTTCCCTCATAGGACGTGTTTGCCCCCTGGGTGAGAGAAAAACAGAACACACTCAGCGTCTACGAAGCGATCCTCAACTCCATCCCCCCAGACGCCCAGGAGAAGATTCGAACGCGCTGACACAGCCTCCCCTCGGCGCTGTACGTCTTCCTCAAGACCTCCATGGCGAACATGGTCTTGACCTGTCTGGGCGACAGGTCGGAGATGGCGCACAGTACCGAGGCGCGTCTCTCGTTCCTGGACCACGAGCTGGCGGAGTACGTCAATGGGCTTCCACCGAGGGTCAAGATGAGCTATAGTAAGCCCGAGGATTCCATAGAAACCAATAACGACGAGAAAGAGAAGAGAAAGAAAGTAGCGCCTCAGAGCTTCTTCTGGGAGAACATGGCCGCCGTCCGAGATCGCATCATTGACAAGAAGGTCCTGCGGGAGGCAGGGCGGCCGTTCATCACGGACAAGATCTACAACCGCAAGAAGCACCCGTACTCGTCCCCATGGAAGTGGCCCGTGGAAGGGCCGATGCAGCGAATGTTTAGGGGGTTGCTGACGAAAGAGGCGGTCGAATGCCTTGGCTTTGTCGACTTTGGGAGCATATCACGGTGTCTTGAGACTGCATCTGGTGAAAGCGGTGACCCCGCAGTGTTCAGGAAGATACTTGTCGTCGGCACCTGGGGGGTTTTGAGTCAGAAATTTGGCGTGAAACCGGCCAGATCTCAGAGATAGATCAATAGGGACGCTGAAGGGGGTGATTTGCTGCTGCGGCACTTGATGCATTCTGTCAGGATGAGGAGAAGACACCGCGCGCTTGGATTGAAGTCATTGATTTTCAGAGTCGCACAACCATATCAGCTGCTCAGACCGCACGAGATAGTATCAAGCCAAAATTCCGCAAGAAAGAAAGAGCTGGATCGAGGGCATGCCGTAGGTTACGGGCAAGATGCCGTGATCTCTCTAGGGCTTCACTTTGAGCTTGTCTGCTTTCCGTCGTGTCCGCGAAAAGGGTAGCTACCTTCTTATTATGCCATGCCTCTGGCCTCTCAACAGCAAGACGCACCGGTGTTCAAGTGTATTCGCGCAACTAAATACGAGAGTTCCAATTCTCTCTACCCAGATGTCAATGGCTTAGCCATTTCCCGGCTCTCAGCTCCGGTCACCAGAAGGGTGAGTAAGTAGTGATCGGCAGCCCTGGTCCTCACCTCCATCATGAACCATTGGCTTCAATTATCAACTTCGTACCGCCAAGAAAGAAGATGAACTGACCGAGCATATTTCTATCCCCTTATGGCTATATCTTTCGACGGTACGGTGAAGCAACTGAGGGGAGCCGTGGTAAAATTTATGTGCAAGTGAAACCTGCATCTAGATGTCTCGCCGTTTACGGGTGTCAAACGAAATTAAGAGAAATTGCAGGCAAGCAGGACCAAGTAGTCCAACAACACCACGATGCAAAGTTACGACACGTCCGAACAGATCGCAATACTTGCTACGCCGGCAGTGCTTCCCGCCCTGGCTTACACAACGGTTGGACAGATTCGGTTGACACCTGCAACGATCCGGCAAGTTACCTCATACATCGCGCGAGTGAAAGTAGGCATACGTCTATAAGGAGAAGCAAGAAACGAACCTCTCGCAGATCGCAAAAGATCAACACCATGTCATACTAAAAGCACCTTGACAACCCCGCCAAGCTAACAAGACGCTAGAATCTTGTATCCCGATCTGGCATCATCCGAGTACGCGTCAAGGAGCGGGAGTAACGAGACACCTGCGCGGGGTGCCGTTGATCAACAGAGGGGAAGTGAGACAGCAAAGCCGGTCTCAGTTCTCCGGCAGCGGTACGGCAACGGGCCGTGACTAGTGCCCGCTCCCTGCTCCTCCTCCCCGTTGACATTGACAGCTCTTGACCTCCAATTTGCACGTCATTGAGATCAAGGAAAGAAAGGGGGAGAGGGCGGTCTGGCTCGTCTATAAATGAGCCAGAGATCCTCAGATGGAGATGAGTAGAAGAATCAGGCTCTTCTTGACCATCAAGCACTCAGATTCCAATTCGAAACCCAAGCAGAGACTTCTTCACTCTTCCTAAACTTTCCAGCAAACCATCGCCCATCATGCCGGGTCTTCCCACTGCCACTGACGAAGAAGTCGGCTTCCAGCCGATCCCGTCAAACCCCTACCTCAAGCAGCCGGGATCCGTCCCAGGCTCGATCTCCAGAGGTGCCAAGTCCTCATGGGGTTCCTTCATGCCCCCCAACACCTACGAGCCCGTTGCAGACGAAGGAATCATCCACTTCAACCCCATCATCATCCTCTTCATGTCCCTTATTCCAAAGGACAACCTTACCAAGGCTGTTCAGTCGGCACTGGGGAAAATCCCAGAATTCATGGCGAAAATGGGCATCGAAGACGCAGACACATTCTACAAGTTTGCCAACGACATGCTCAAGTGGACTCCCACTGAGAACGTCCAGGCTAAGGATGTGTACGACATCCTGTGCCTGTTCTACTTCATCCTCGACCAGCAGCCGCTGCTGCGCGAGCAGACGCTCGTCCACCCGAGCTCGGTTGGGTTGCCGCTGACCCCGCTATCGAGCTGGATCGTGGTGTTTGCGCAGCTCATCGGGCTCTTCATGGACACGCCGGCGTCCATCAACGAGAAGACCTTCCAGACGTTTGTCGACTCGCCAAAGTACATGATCAAAGAAGAGGCACTCATCCCCGAAGGCGGCTTCCGCACCTTCAACGACTTCTTCTCCCGCCACCTCAAGCCGGGCGTGAGACCCATTGCGGATCAGGACGATGATAGGGTCATCACTTACCCTGCGGACTGCACCTACGACAATTCGCTCTACAACCAGAGCATCGTCAACGTTCAGGACACGGGTATCATTGAGATCAAGGGCCTCCCCTGGACCATCGGAGCCCTGCTCCAGGGCAGCGAGTATGCGGACTGTTTCCACGGGGGCGTCTGGATGCATGCCTTCTTGAACACGTTCAACTACCACCGGCAGCACGCGCCCGTCTCCGGGACAGTCATCGAGGCCAAGAACATCCAGGGAGCGGCGTACCTCGAAGTGGACCAACAGTGTCGTCCGATCCGCAAGCTCTTCGTGACGGCCGAGGACATTGAGAAGGACCCCAACTGCCGGCCCGAGGCGCCCGACTCCCCGGGCTACCAGTTCCTCCAGACGAGAGGCCTGGTAATCATTGACAACCCGGTGCTCGGCAAGGTGGCCGTGCTGCCGATTGGCATGGCCATGGTCTCGTCGGTCAAGCTATCGGTCCGCGTGGGACAGAAGCTGCAGAAGGGCCAGGAGATCTCGACGTTCTTGTTTGGCGGGTCGGACATCATCTGCGTGTTTGAGCCGCGTGCCAAGTTGACGCCTGAGCACTTTGTGCCGTCGCCCAAGGACGACTACTCGAGATACGGGAGTGTGTTGGCGAAGGCGCCTGGGCAGGGCTCGAATGGGACTTCGAATGGATACCACTGATTGGGTTAGTTGGCTCAGGCTCATGTCTGTACTCGCACGCAGTAGCTCCCGAATGGTGATATCTGAAATCTGAATTCTGAATCTTGCTGAGAGAGTGAATGACTCTTCCTTTCCCTTCTGCATTCGCCGCGTTTCCGAAGTGGTCTGTGAAAGAGGACGGGGTTCTCAAAGTGTCCATGACTCCGAGAGTGACACAAACGTTGTTCGTGCCCAACAGTGGATTTCTTCTTTTCGTGGCCTGGCAAACCGGCCCAGAGGCCTCCACAGCTCGAGGTGGCGGCCACGGCGAGCCTCATGTTTTCAGAGTCGCGGTCTGTTCTTGAAACAAACTCAGCTCGGCGGAGACCAGACGGGAGGAGGACGAAGACCTCGGAAAGTAGAGATGCAAGGCGAAGAAGCGGACCGGCCCGTGTAAGATGGAGAAAACTGCATTTCAAGGCAAATGGATCAAAAGGCGGTGACTATATTTTCCAAGATATGCATGGAAAAGGAGAAAGGTGATGCAGGTTTGCGGCTCTCTCGTATTCAGGGGTAAATGCGGAATGTCAGCCTCAATGAGAAAACGGAAGGCAGGAGAAACAAAAAGTACGTAGATGGATGCTTATTGAATGGCTGGGAAAACGGAGTCGGGCAAAGGTGTGTGTGAGGTTGGGTGACGTTGCAAAGCCACTTGCGCTTGTGCAGCTTGACGTGTCCGACGGTGGGACAAACCGACAACGCTTTGATGTTGAAGCATCCAGGCACAGGCTGCTGCATCTGTTTGCTGGTTCGGGGGGTCGTTAAGATGCAGCTTCTTTTCGGGTACAGATGACTCATTGCTACATCCGAGACATTTCTTGCATTTTTCTTTCTGTTGTCTTCTTTCCTCGCCGTTTCATCTTGCCCTGTGTTGAGAAAATCGCCATCATCGAGAAAAGGCAGGAACGTATATTCGTACCTACCTACGGTAGACTTGGGTACCTAGGAAGTACGGATAATCGCGCCTGCCAGGTTCATCCAAAAATTAATTAACCCCCAGCCACCTGTTTGCGCGATTCTATGGAGAACTCTCCTAAATAAGTGGAATCCGTCACGTGCGATAAGAGCTTCAACCTATCGATAAGCTGCTGACCGTCGCTGAGCCAGGGGTGTGGCGCCAAGGAGGACCGCGTTACCCCGCGCAACCACGTCTGTGAGTCTGCAAGGACCGTCTTTCGCTGACACCTGGAACTGGAACCAGGTTGATGCTGCTGCCGCTGGGTGGTGAGCTCACAGACTGGCCAACCCACTCCTCCCGCCCGTCTCTCTCTTTTTTCTTGGGACCGCCTGCCTTGCCTTACCTTACCTTAGTCTCTCTTCACTAAAGATAGTACCTGAGGTCTGTCTTGAGAGATTTCTTTGTTCATCTTCATTTTTTTTCTGAGTTGAAGCAGAAGAATAATCGTCTTCTTTTGCTTCACACTTTCACCAACACCGAGAAACCACCCCCACTCACCTCCGGACGTCTCACCGACCGGCTCATAGGGACCCTCCCAACCCCCCTCCAAGACAAACACATTCCTCGGGGGTCCCTTTCTTTCGAGTCGAGTCGCCCACGATAGAGACACCAAACGCAATCAGACAATCCCGCATTCCTCAAATCTATCGACCCCGAACTGAAGGTCCGCTTCGCCCGTCGTCGCCATCATGGCGCCGGCAGATGGGTTCTCGGCGCCCGGCGTCGCTTCCTACGACTCCAACACCATGACCGTTGGTGATGGTACCTGGGACTTTAGCAAGAACACATTCTTGTTGCCTAACCTCGTCGGCCTCAATTTTGAGACGATGCAGTACAATGGTGAGAATACCTTACTCTCAAACACGGCGCATTCGCTGTGGCAGCCTGCCCGACTAACACGCGACCACCCACAGGCATGGGCAATCGCTTCTCGACCGTCGCTCAGTACCATACTCTCGTACTCGCCCACGGCGTCATGGCCGCCATCATCTTCCTCCTCATCGTGCCATTATCCGTCTTTACCGCCCGCTTCTATACAGCGAAACCAGGCTACGCGATACCTTACCATGCCCAACTCAATATCCTCGCTGCGCTCATGCTCGTCGCCGTCTTCGTCCTGGGCTGGTTCGCCGTTGGCCCCGAAAGAAGTTGGACCAACCCCCACCACGCAATCGGCCTCGCCATCTTCATCATGTTCCTCCTCCAAATCATCGGCGGCCGGCTTGTGAGACATATTAGGGGACGTTCGCTCCGCAAAA